TGCAAAAGCATAAAGTACAAGACAATTTGTCCAGCAGCTTGGACCCAAATTTAGGAGGCTCTAACAAGGCCAAAGTCAAATATGCTTAACCAGCAAAGTCTGTGCATCACCCAACTGGCACCAACACAGTGTGTTCCTATTCCTTGCACTTTTTACCACTATTTTTGTTGATATAGGAAAAGAATATGCACTATTGCCTCAGAAATTTATATATGCTAGCTATATTAATGGGAAAATAAACTCAAATGCTATCTGCCTGCCTAAGTCTATCAGGATTATATTTTATATTTCCCTTTTTCCAAAGACCTTTTCGGTTATTTTCCTTTTGTTTTTGGGATCTACTGTATCAGAATGTCCAAAAGAAAATGGCTGAAGTCAGTCTACTGAAGTCAGAGTTACAACTAAAAAACACGTATCAGTAAAACCCATTCTTTAATATGTGAGCCCACATTAACTAAACCCAGCTGAAAAGTTCTGAGAAGTTAAATTAAAATAAATAACTGGGAGAGTTAAGTAAACAGTTCCCTTACTGGATTTGCTATAACTGACTAAAACTTTTCTTCCTCTTTCCACATTAAAGGAGAGCCCTAAAACCACATTTTGCATATTTTATTACTCCAAACCTTTTCTAACCTGGTTCCCAGGTCAGACCAAGTCGAAAAAACTTTAAAAAGTGAATCTAACATTGTTCTAAAATAACAGAATCCAGTGGAGTGTGAACAACAGGAATATCAATAAATGTCTACTCTTATTCCCAAACCCAGAGTGGAATTTAAACAAATTTTAGCCTCTAAGATTCACAATTTATTGAACTGAACTGGCAAACCAGCTTTAGCAATCAATGTTACCCATCTGATGCCTCTGAGTGTTTTCACCAGAGAGAGGAACTGCACGTTTGGAGAAAGAAAACATTTCTGTGATTGTTTTCAAAATCACAGTTGAAAGTTTCTTGAAAGGTCAGAAAGCAAGTTCTCCTGGTAGACAGAGATTAGCAGCAGAGGGTAGGCAAGGTGCTCAGGGTGTATGGGAAGGGTAATCCATCAGATTGATAGCACCACTATGTATATGGTACAATTATATCTTATCTCCCCAGCCCTGCAACCAAAATAAACCCCATGGAAGCCTTGGAGTCTGCTTCTGTTGTCTTTAAGTACACACCCCTTAGGGTGGCGACCCAGGACACACCACACGCCTTTTACCTCATGTAAGACAAAAGCAAAACAAATATAATCAGTATTTTTCCTCTTAGGACTCTCACTGAGCCTCTTTGATGTGTTTTCCCTAATCGTTTTCTCTTTTTAATCATCACACTCAGGGGTTTCTCTGAGCTTATTATGGTTTAGGTTTTATGTAACCTCTTCCAGGCGGGCGCCTTCCCAAGCTCCCAACACAGCAACTGCTGTAACAGAACACAGCAACTCTACACCAAGGAATACCTTGGCCAAATGAAACCAAAAGGGAAATTTAGATGAGTACATTCTGCTTAGGTTGGAATTTTGGCTCAGACACAAGAGTTCACACTCCTGGTCTTGCAAAAAGAAGCTGTAATGGAGATACTGAAAATGAAAGTATCTCTTCTACTTCAAAGCTGAAAATCCGGCTGCTTCTACAAAGTGTTTTTCTGCTCTGGGAAATTTTACTTCTCTACACCCATTCATGAAGGGGAAATCCTTGGTCCTGCAAGTTACCTGTGGGTTTGCCATTCACTTGACTAGACCTGAGACTGCCAGTATGATTTACTGGCATAAAACTAGTTAAATTTAAATTTCCATTTTCCATGTGGCTGCTTGCCAATATTTCTTTGTCTTAGGAGAAATTATTTACATTTACATTTTATCTTGATTCTCTTTAGCAACATTCCTATTTACATAGAAAATCCTTCAATGGATTACTACATTCTTTTCCGTTTCACCTAAGAAGTGCATTGGTGTCCTATAGTTAAAAAATTTTCCTGATCCACTGTTAACAAAATGGCTCAATTTATAACAGGCACCATGTAAAACTCACATAAATGGAATACCTATAAAATGTCCAGTAAACAGCTGCCCCTGTTTACTATCTATCAGTAGATACATGAGGTTCTAGAGTTAATTTCCATTTATCAGCTAAAATTTACGGGTATCACTGATACTCATTTATGTTGTTCCAGGTCAGGACGCTGCCCATGGAGGAAGCAGGAGCTGGGACAAAACTGAAAACATTTCCTTCACGTGGGAAGGTGCCCTGCTGAGAAACTGCTTATTGAACCTGACAGCAGGCGTGTAAGCAACATTAGAGGGAGTGTACTCACACGTGTACTCCCAATAAAGGGGAGGACAAGGCGGTGAAAGTCAGAGCTATTACAAGACAAATACAAATTGTTTTTAATCTCCAGGATACTAAAATATTTTTTGAGAGCTCCCAGTGTTTGGGACAGGAGGGAGGGAAAGAAAGGGGCAGGAGAGCAGTAAGCTCTGCTGAGACTATTCTTATGGTTTCTGTCAACTTTTGTGGGAAAATCATTCTAGAGAAAAGCAAGAGAGGATTTTGAAACTAACAGCAAAGGACTTGCTAAAAGGTACTTTGCTCTGTAAAACTTCCCAAGGGACCTGAAAAAGCACCCTGAGCACGCCCTTTATCACACAGCTTTGCATATGAAATGCTGTTCGTTTCAGAGGCAGCTGTATATTTTTACCTGGGGGGGTTTATTCCTGTCAGTCGTCCCCTGATTACTGATCTGTGAGAAGCAAGTGAAGGAGTCAGAGCTACCACAAAGACAGAAATACAGCTATTGAAGTTCATGGGATTTTTAACATTCCCCCTCCTTACCCCAGAACTTTACCCTTTGAGCGAACACTGCCATATATATATATATATATATTTTTGTTTGGCTGCCTGGTGGGCCACAAGAAAATTATCAGCACTCTGAGAAGAAAGCAGCTATGTTTCATTCAGAATTTCCTTAACCCCAAGTCTTGCTGTGCATTACCATTTCCCAGAAAGGTGCATTGTTCTATCAGCACCCCTATCAAATTCAAGAGCAGAGCCGCTCTGTCGGGACGTGCAGCAGCTCAGATAGGCCGGGCTGTTGCAATCCTGTTGCAATCCTGCGCAGAAAACAGAACGTTAACGCTGGCATGCTGCTCCCACGCCCTCCCCTCTCCGGGCTTCCCATTAACTGCGTGACACCCTGCAATGCACAGCATTTATTTACACAACACCACTCTTGAGACGGGCATTTGTTCGGCTGCGATGTTGACAAGTCTTAGGAAGCACTACCCGCCAGAGTAAAGGTGTATTAAGCATCAACTGAGGATGAAAGAAATGCTTTAAAACACGCTTGATCGAGTTTCCAGCTGCAGCACAATTCCCTTTTAGCCAGGAGCTGCTGGGACAAACTAGGGAAGCTCCTGCCTTTCCCAGAGAGCAGTGGCTGGCACCCACACGCTGGTTCCACGAGGACTCTAATCCGGGATATGTGGTGACACTCTGAAAAGAAGCAAACTCCTCTGTGGCCAGCCATTCAGGTTTTTGCACGCGTTTCCCAACGCCGTTCACCGCGGGGCTGCGGCAGCGCCGGGGAAGGACAGCGTGGGAGCCGGAAGAAGGCAGGGCGGGCTCGGTGTCACTCCCGCCGCTGCTCGGTTCCATCCGCTCGGGAGAGCTCCTCGCGTTTCCTTAAAAAGCATTGCTATGTGGAGAGCAGTTTGCAACGTGACACAGGTGTAGAAACAGGCAGGGAAGCTCGGGGGCAGATGAGTGGGAGTGACCAAAGGTGCCCTAAGCTTCACTCCTGCGTCTGTAGCACCCATCCATCCTGTTCCCTGAGGGGGGTATAGAGCAGAATTCCCGTGTTTCACTGGTCATCTTCTTGCCAAAGGACTGAGAAACGGGGCTGATTCTTTAGGAAACGACCAGTGGGAAGGTGGAGAGGTGCTGCTGGCTGTGCCTCAGAGAAGCTCCCATGTTCTCATTCCTCTACCTGAACAACTCCAAATCACTGTCAGAGCCCCTCGAAGCAGACTCGGAATGTAAAGAAAACAAAACAACCCCCACAAAAAGCAAGCCCTTAGCAACTGGAAGATATTTGGTCAAAAAGGTCAAAGAGTGATCAGAGAGTTAAACTGGCATAAATCTAAGTGCCAGTATATGCTCCACACAGTCCTGGGTCAGATTCAAAATGCATTACAAGGCTCATGGACCAATAAAAATGCCATTGATTGATATCCTAAAAGCAAATGGGGGCAGTAACAAATATTTTATACCAACAAGTTAATACTAGATCTTCTTCCAGATGAAAATCCATTGTTTCCCCGTACCTATTCCTTACTGCACTTTAAAATATAAAAATAGTTCATACCACCTGTCCAGCATTTATTCCCCTCAGATCTGCCTGCTTTACTAGGACTTCAGTCTCATTATGCCCATTTGACAAGGAGGGAAATCAGGCTAGAAAGATGCTAAAGGTGATTCAGTAGGGAGGCAAAAGCAGGGAAGTGTACAATTCCCATTTGAGTTGACTCTCTTCTCCTGTTTTTCCTTGTTGGGTATACAGAAAATAAGATTACTTTTCATTAAACTCACAAGGTTATATTAAAGAGGTAAATAAATTTTTTTTGCCAAACTTTTAAAGTTTTCTTAGTTGTCTTGAAGGGAAATATATTCCACACCAGTACTGCTTAAGGGTTAGGTGAAAACTCTGCTGACCAATAACATAAATGTGAAATATACCCCTGTTCTTATTAATATTTATGTAATAATCCAGGGCTGAAATTGGCTATCATTGAACTGACCTCAGATCTCTGACATAAATGCCTATTTGAAGCACCTGGCAATGGGCTGGGAGCATCCACACCCAGAAGTGCCTTGTCTGGGCTTGCAGCTCTGCCAGCCACACACCTTTTCCTACACTGCTGCAGGAACTGGGAAACATCAGCACAAAACGTGCTTATGTAGAGCAAGGCTACGTTGTACCATTAACTCTTACAACACATGTGCTTCACCTCCCTCACATGACTTACCTGAGCCCACAGCCCTCTCCTCACTCAGCTGAAACCCCTGGAAATCTGTGCTGCAGCTGGTACCCAGCTCTCCAAATACCACACAGCACTTCTGGAATACTTCTGGAATACTTCTGGAATGGCTTAGTAGTTGTTTCCTATTAAAAAAAAAAAAAAAAAAAGTAACATTTAAACCAATCTGAATTTCAATTTGCAGCCATCACAGCCTTTAGGCCTTTGCTTTAGCATTGTCCTTTTAGTCTGAAAATTCTCCTTGATCTTATTAACTTTTTTGGAACATATTCAAATGTTATGGCTTTTTATATGTTTCATATGTTCTCAACAGACTGTAAACAGTCCTGTGTGCTGAACAACCTATCTGCCAAAGACACTGCCAGTTGCTCATGGACTTGTTCTAGCCCACATGGGAATAGTGGTCCTGAGCCCACTGTAAAAACACAAGACCTCAGGTAGTGACCCTTATGATTCTGGGCTAAATTTCCCATCTCCTCTTCCTTCTGAAACAAGGGAACATAGAGATGCTGTAGTGTTGGCAGCTGCATACAATTTTTACCACAGAACAGCAATTTTGCGAGGTTGAGCATCCTGGTTCTTCTCCTGAGGAAGTCCTGAGGGTCTGCTGTGGGTGAGGCCAGGCCATTCCCAGCTGTGAGGGGACAGGGCTGCCCAGACAGGGAGGAGCAGCTGTGTCACTGTGTGATAGCTCAGCTGGGATCAGAGATCAGGTTGTTGTTTATTAATCAGGTGGGCCAGAGGAAGAGAAGCAGTTCAGCAGCACCTTCTCCAAAACAGAAACCTTGAACTCTGCTTGTGCTTCCAGGCACCGTCCTTCCCAGGCCATGCCCTTTCCTGCCTACATCGCCTTCCTTGGCTCTTTGGCAACCCTAACTGCTCCCACACCATGACTCCAACACAAATGACTGTCATCCACAGTGAATGTTTCCATTTGAATTACGTGAGCAGGCCCTCTGTAAACTTCCCCACAGGCTCCACCACACTAATCCCTGGGAAGGAGCAACCTGCAGGACCTACTTTCACTGTTGAATGCTTTCTCTGTTTGTTGCTCCTCCTGTCAGAGCCATTACCCAAATTCAGACAGGTGTCCTTACATCTGTCACCCAGCAGCCACTGCTGACATTCAGGACAGGAACTCGCTGTCTGTGTCCAAGTCTGAGCCCACGGCACAGAGCAGGAAAGCTCTGACTGCTCCCTGGAAATCCCTGAGCTCTGGGCTGCTTTTCACTGGGCAGTTCTGGTCTCATGCAGACTCGCTTCCTCCCCTTCTCCTGTTGCAGGTATTGCTTTATCCCAGGTTGCCAGGAGCCTACTGTGCCAACAGCTGCTAAGACAGAGCAAGGTGTCAGCTTTGGCAGGATGCCAGATTGTTTATTAATTAAAGATTTAAGCAGTCTGAATCTCTCCTGAGACCCTAATCAAAACGGATCTATTTTACCCAGGGATCTGAATGGTTAAATCTAGTTATTCTGAGGCTTTCAGTCACAACTGGCAACTACAAATAAATCCATTTTGTTGACACTACTGTCTGTTTACTGAAATACCCAAAGACCACAAAGCTAGCTTCAGTTCTCCACGGCGAAACCCCACTTCAGTAATACAGGAACATATGCACACTTCCAGCAGGATCTTTCTTTCTGAACACAGTAAATATCTTTTCAAAGGCATTCACCTGCCTCCCCAGCACTCAGCATCAATATGCTTCTATTTGTATGGTACATTTTTCCTGCTGCCAGCTCCTAATGCCAAGCAGAGCCGTCTGCTTGCCATATGCCACCCGTCCTCCAGTGCCTCCTCTCCTGCTTACCTTCCCCCTCTGGGCTCCCACTGTGGATCAACTGCTACTCTGCCAGCCTTCTTGGTGTGTAGAGGATTTTTCCGACTGCAAGCTCCACAGGATGGGAACTCTGCCCAACTCTCTATTTCCCGGAGCACCAGCTAAGCTGTGGTACAGAAATAATGAGCACAGAGACATTATTGGTGTGACATTTAGATTTGTAACATCCCAAACATCCTTCTAGAGGAAGGTGTCCCTGCCCAGGGCAAGGGGGCTGGGACAAGATGATCTTTAAGTTCCCTTCCAACCCCAGCCATTGCAGGATTCTAAAAAGCATGGGAAGCAAGGCCCCAGGGCTCCTTTCAGACTCATCTCCAGACAATGTGGTTAACTTCTACTTGCTCAGGGTTTTGATCAAAAATTTAAAAATACACACAGGTGTTTGAATAAAAAATTATAAAGTTCATTACTTATTTGAAAATATATTTCTGAGCACTGAAATCCTCTATAGCACAATAGTGAGAAATTTGGTATAACTACTGAGTGAAGAGGTCATCCCATCTACTTTAGAGACAATCATATCACATCTTTCATTCAGATGTTGCTGCACATCAACATCCAGGCTTTGAATTGCTCAGGCAGCATTCCTAGGAAAATGGAAGATGTTTTTAGTGGTTCCTCCCTCACTTCTGCAGCCTTTCTGTGTGTTTACAGCACTGCTGTCCTGCCCCAGAGGTAACCCAACAGGTCTTGCAAAGCCTCCTAACTTTGCCCCACCTCCATCATTCACAATCTTGTCTCTGTAACCTAGTCATTTTCCCCCATTCCACAAACTATTAGTTTCAAAGAAATCCAGAGATTAATTAAAATGATTGGTGGGATGAGTAGGTGAGGGGGACAGGCTAAAGGGCTTGACAAGAAGAAAGATGAAAAGGACTAAGTGCGTATGGCTTGGTTATGCGATGACTAATGGAGGGTGGAGGAGATGGACACGATATTCATTTACAAGTGCCTGTGGTTCTGAAGAGCATTTTTCATGTGCAAAATGAAGACTCACTCAAGACTGGCTGGGTTTTTTTAGGGTTTTAGTTCCAGGGTCCTCCACATCAAGTCGTGAGTCCCACTCTTCCCCCAGCCTATGCACACCTTTCCCCTGTGTCCCCAAATGTATTGACTTGTTTTTATTTCAGCCCCAATTCCTGGATCTCCACCTGGCCACAAGAGCCCTGCTGGGAGCAAAGAGCAGGAGGAGAGGCCACGGAAGCCGGGGGTGGATGAGGTGGCAGCTCTGCCACGCCTGTGCTGCGCTGCAGACTTGGACCCACTTGAACCGAGGACGCAAACACGCCCTGAGGAACCGGCAAGGGACTGGGACCAGCAGAACCTGGGAATGCTTTTACTTCCACTTGGCCTAAGGAAACTGTTCCTTGTACCCTCTCACCCCCACCTTAATGTATTGGGCCTTGATGGAGTAAATAAGAGAAAAATACTTGTGCTTTCTGACTCTTCAAACTCTTGTCTCCCCCAGTTGGAGAAAACTGGTCTATAGTAATTCCTTAAGCAAGTGGAAAGCAGGGTGTGGAAATCCAGCAATTCCCAGTTTTATTCATTTTAAGATGTGAAGAAGGATAACACATTTGGAAAGTGTAAAGTCCTTTTTTTTTGAAAAAAAAAAAAAGACAAAAAATCTATATAATAATTTTCTATACAATAAAGATGTTACGGAAACTTCTCTGAGGAGAAGAAAAAGCAAAATAGTCTTACATGTCTAAAGAAAATTATATATTGAAATATTTAATATACATGCAATAAAACTATAAGGAAAAAAGTATTTTTTCTGTGAGCACTGTTTCCAATGTAAAAAATTCAGAAGCTGACATTTATCCTTTTTTCTTTCTTTTTTTTTTTTCCAAATGATTTTGAAATAAGTCAAAAGCATCTGAGATGCAGGAATGAAACAAAACAACAAACCCATTTATTCCTGGACACCAAATATAATTTAGACGGATGTGGTGTGTGTAACAAATTTTAATTTGTCCCTGAAAAGCCATTTAATTATTCAGATTATCTGATTGCCTCTCTCAGGCTTCTATTGATTGATTAGAGAAGTTTATAAATCAAAATGTGCATTACTGCTGCTCAACGCATTGGCCTCTCAGAAATACAGGGCAGGGATTGGCAATTCCTAGCCACAAGTTTGTTTATTGAGCCATGTAAATGGCTCTGGTTTGTACCTGGGTCAGGAAGTGTTCCTTCATCCTACTAAAGGAATATTTTCTTAAGGATGCCAGGAAAGGGGGAATAAAAGCCTGGAATTAATAGGTGTTTAATAAATCAGGGCATAACCACCGGCTCCTTGGCTAATGGCCACGAAGGATCACTGTCCATGGGTCCCACTTCTGGATCTGCTCCACTCTGAAGGTCTCAGTGCTAAACTTGGGACTCAAATCTCAGCCAAGCCCTCCCTAAGGTCCCCAGTTAGGCAGGAAATCCCCTGGGAGCAGCCAAGAGCTCTTGTCTTTGATTTCAGCGCTCTCCTGCTCCTCACAACCTTCACAAGAACCTTGACTCCACTGCAGCCTGGACCAAAGAACCTGCAGTGAGCAGCAATTAGTGTAATGAGTGTCCCCAACAGACAGGGCCTCAGCTCCTACACTCCCCAGCAAACTGGAATGTCTGCTCCTGAAACCCCGCCTCTGCAGGAGGAAGGAAGTACAGAGCTGAAATGGGTGGAGGGAAAAAAATTAAATTAAATTAAATTAATCCCTCCAGCCCGATCCAACCCTCACTGAAGTTAATCAAAACCTTGCATTGATATCAGTGGGCTCCAAAGGCAGTTTTTCAGGTTATACAAATCTGTAATAGAGTGGTTTAAGCTATGCTGAGCATGTTCCTCATAGTCTGAACTTTGCTTTCTAGGACAGAAGAAACATGCAGAAGAAAACCCCAAAAGATAAAACAAAACAACATAACCAATTAAATACATAAAGTTAATCAGAATAAATTTTATTAGTAGTATTTGTCTATACAGCAAATTAACTGCATGGCTTCCTATGTACCAGATACCACAAACAACCTCCCCATTTTTAGCTTCATTTGGAAATATTTTAAATCTTTTATTTCAAAATAAAAAACTCCACACAATAAACGACTTCGAATTCAAGTCTTAGATTTCTTCCGATTTTCTTCCTTGCCCTTTATAAACATGAAAACTGAGGGGTGACAGAGAGGAGATAATTTATGGACTATCTCCGGGGGTTGTAACACATCAAGGACGGCCCCATCAGGTCCGACGAGATATCCATCTCTGACAGGGACCAGGAGTGGGTCCCTAGGGAGGCACACGAAGCCAGGGATGCCCCCCAGGCACAAGTCATTTGCAGCTCTGAGATTTCCAGAGCCAGTGTAGATGCTCCGTGATTCACAGACCTTAAGTGATTTCTCTTCTGTGAATTCATCCAATCACGTTAAAATCGCTCAGTCCACCCCTGCCAGGGAGTTCCAGCGCTGAACCACAGTTCTCTGGTTTATTCCGAACCTGCCAGTTTCATTTGATGCCCCTTGGCTCTGGGGCCAGAAGAGTCAGCCACTGGTCTCTATTTATCTAGTATGTAAACATTAAAAGGAATTAAAGAACTGCTTTGAGTGCTCACTGCATTAATGAATTCCAGAGATTTTCTTATGCATGTGCAGTAACTTAGTGCTGTTCGGCTCAATAGTTTCTGCAGCTGAAGTTTGAGTTACCTGCAGCCCAGAGAGATGCTGCCTCTGTGAAGGCTGTGCAGACGCCAGCAGCACACACTGAGCCCCCACATCCAGTCCAAACTCTGTCTTTTTGTGCCACAGACTGTTAACACACTGCATGTATTATTTCCATCGTTCCATTAACACCAGTGCCCACCATGTGGCCAGTCAGGTGGGAACACCAGGGGAAAACGCAGAAGGAAAAAACCCCAATGACTTCCAAGAGGGGAGCTGGACCTTCACTTTTCTTTCATAGCTGCTGATGTTTCTGTTTGCTTCACTGCTCTTTCCTATATGGTAACCGGTAATTATGTCATTATATCCAGGAAAAAATAGAACTGGAGAATTTGAAAGTGTGTTTTCAAAACTGGACCTAAGTTTGTTAGCTTCACATATCGTGAGAACGGATTGAAGCTGACAGACCAAGTTCTGCACTGACAAAAAGCTGAACAGCAGGCAACAGCTTCGCGTTGGAAGCATAAGGAGCACTTGTTGCACTGCTGGCAATCAAACACTCCAGAACAGCCCTGCAGCCCCTGTGCCACCCCGTATTGTCACCGTCTGTCCTCAAATATCTGGTGCACTTTATTCCAGAGGTAAGTGCCTGGCAGCAACCCCAAATCCCCGCCACCCCGAGAGAAGGGTGTGCGCGGGGCAAGGAAAGGAGAGCGAATCCCTGTTATCAGCGCTGTGCCCCGGAACGCCGCTCGCACACAGCAGCTCCAGCGAACCAGACACCTCCCATCTGTTGCTCCCAGGGAACATGCCAGCAGAGACTTTTCTCCTGCACCGCGATCCTTCGGCTCCAGCCCTTATTCTCCCTCCCGACTAACCTGCAATTCCACAGCAATACTGGGACACTGTCTAAAATTAGGCCGTCGCTGTCCCCTCCCCTTGAGGACGAGTTCAGAGAAACCCATCCGCAACCCGGCTTTTTCCTGTCGGGTTTTATTCCCCTCCGTATTCTCCAGGCTGTTCCCGAGGCCGGGAATTGGCGTCCCGGCTCTCTGCGGAGGCAGAGCCGTGCCGGGGGCCGGAGGTGCGGGGGCGATCGCGAACACCCGCGGCCGAAAGCCGCGGCTCCCGCTGGGCTGGGCGGGCGAGCGGGGACTCCACCGGCCCCGCGGGGGCTCAGCCCGGATCGGGGAGCGCGGGGTGCCCCCGGTGCCGCCCCCGGCGCTGCCTGGAAGCGGCGGGGGCGGCGGGACGGGGAAACCACGTGGGGCTCCCCGGGAGCGCCACCTGAAGGGCCGAACCACCGCCGGGGGAGGGAGGAGCGGCGAAGGGGGGGGAGACACAGCACAGCCCGAAACCCGGCGGAGGCAGCGGCTGCCAGGCAAACAAACAAACGCGCAGACAAACGCGCAGACAGGCGGAGGCACAGGCGCACCGGCAGCGGCCGGGGCCGAGCGCGGGG